GCGCCGCGCCGCCCTTTGCCCGCGCCGCCCCCTTCCTCTTCCCGGCAGCGCGGCCTTGTGGGGCGGGTAGTTCTTCCGCCCGCCCGCCTCCACTTACCCTCGCTGCAGCCCGAGCCCATTGCTCCGCGTCCTGAGACGGAAAAAACCATGCCGTTGCTTGTTTGGTTTGGTTGCCCGTCCTCAGTGGGTCTCACCGCCGAGCCGAGAGGTTTCCATGCTGGCATTTCTTTTTAATCAAGGAGTGGTTGTTGGAGGTTTTCTAAAGGAGATCAAAGAAGCGCGGGTCAGGGATGGTTTCCCTTCACCCGGGCCGGGGGTCACGGCCAGCCCTAGGAGTCCCCAAAACGGAGGGTCTCGGCGGGGGTGGGCTCTGCTGGGCGGCCCCCACCCCTGAGTCTCTTTTCTTTCCAGGAAAAACCGGGCTCCGTTCACTTCGGCAGAGGTTTATTTTTGGACGGTTTAATGCTGTGCACCGTGCGCCCCTCCCGCCCTCAAATGCGCAACCGTTATTAGTATTTATGGAAGAGATTAAATATAAGCCTGGCTCTGCGCCAGCTGGCTCCCAAACCGAGCCCCTTCAACAGCCTCAGCCGCCAAGGTGAGCGCGCCCCGGGCCCGGGGCCGCCTTCCAGCAGCCAATGCAACACGACAGCTGCGCCGTTTTGCCGGGCGAGTGATCGCTATGCAAACGATCGCGCATCATCGATGCACATAAATATATGCGCTCGTGCAAATGATCACCCGTCATCAATATAAATCCAGGCGCTTGCTGAGTATGACCTGGAGAGTGTGCACCCGCCTGGCCTTCAGGCAAGTCTGCATTAGGTTTTCAGCGCCCGTGGCTTTATGATCAAGGAGAGAAACCCCGCCGAGGTCAACCCGGCGTGGACGTCCGTGGGGTTACACCAGCGTTAAAACCCCGGGTGCAAATGAGAATCAGCCTCTGAGACTTAAAAGGGCCACTGTCTGCTGCAGATATATTTAGGAGCAGATTTTGACCTACTTTGACACGGGCCCATCTGGAAGGGTTTTTTATTCCTCCAGGAGTCTTTCCATTTGTTTTGCTTTGATTTCTTTTTTAAGTAATGTTGCGACACGCCGGGAGCTTGTTTTTCGAAAACCGCGCGGAGGGCCACGTGCGAGGCTCACGATAGAAAACAAGATGTGTCATGCAAGGTTTTCCATGCGAGGTTTTCAGCTCTCACCGAGTTGCGTAGGAAGCCTGGACGCGCTAAAGGGGGTGTCCGTTCGCTGCCTCCTGCTGAGAAAGGCCTGTCTGCTGCAAATATTCCCATAGAGCACCCACCCCGGGCAGAATTTGCCTCTTCCAGGTGATTACTGCAATCCTTAGCATTTCCTCTCTTCGAAGATGCCCACTCATCCTCATCTCTCATCTGGGAGAACAGGGGGGAAGTGACAATGTACCCCAAGTCATGGAAGGGGACTAGATTCTCCAAAAAGCTCCGGACGGGGTTTTTCGGTGCTCAGCAGCTGCTGTGGGCTCCCCTTTCAGTGCCCAGGCAAGATGCTCCCTGGGGCAGCGAGTCCCATGCAAGTAAACTGAACGAGTGCCCTGGAATAAGGGCAGGGAGGCACCAGGAGAGATCTTCTAGCTCAGCCCCGTGCTCGAGGCCGGGTCAGCCCTGCCGAGACCCACTTAAAGGCCTTGACGGTCGTGGGCCCTGATTTGGGTTGTCCCACGTCACAAGTAATGCCCTGCCAGCTAGCAGCATCCTTCATTCTCCCTGCCTGCCTGTGGAGGCAAAATGCACTGCGGAAATGAGCACCGCTGGAGGGTCCCAGTGGCTGGAGCCGTGGGCAGGACTCGCACTCGACACCATTCAGAATTTTTTTGGGGAAAATTTGTCATGTTCTGGGTCGAACTAGCCGAACCCTCTCGATTGAGCAGCGCTCAATTGTTCAAACACTGTACGTGGCTCTGCAACCAGCGGGGATCTGTCACCCCAGACGTTGCAGCCTGTGGCTTCAGATGCTCCCAGATCCATTGGTGGGCATCCTATGTGCAGACCCAAGCCCGGGGGCTTGGGGTTTGGATGCCCCTGAGTCTCACTTGCCCAGCGCTACCCTCTCCGGACCCACGCTTGGCCTGGGCTCTCGCTGCTTCTCTCCTATTAACGAGCTGGAGAAGCCCTGGACAAGCTGCGGGCACCTGCGCCAGCCGTAGCCTGCATGCCAATGAAGTTCCCCATTCCCACTTACTTCTTTGCAATCCCCAGTTCCTTTTTCCAGGAATTTCAGCCGCACAAAATAACAGGAGTCCTAATGGGTGCAAAGCAAGACGGGAGGGGAGCAGCAAGCCGGCTAGGTGGGGAGGGCAAAGAGAAGGATAGCATTAAGGCCACACAGGTGAGACAGCCGTCCAGGTGGGATAACAACGTGCGGAGAGCGTCCCTATAAAAATGGCTTAAAAATTGGTGCTTTCTTTCCAAGCAAGCAATCCTGCTCCGGTGCGGGGTCACTTCAGTCCAGAGCCTCCCTCGCGTGCTCGAGCCCTGAACACGGCTCAGTCGGCGGCGCTGCCGGGACCTGTAGTAACACAACCCGCTCCAGCGAATGCATCTGAAGAATTTTTTTGTCGTGCCGCAGTTACAGGTAAGGAAGGTAAACAGGGCGTATAATAAATAGAGCAATTCAGCCAAGCAAACAGCTGCACAATTATAAATAGGAAAATCCTCCCTAGCCCAAACCCCACCGAGGAAAAAAACCAAAACTCCCCGAACAACATGCAGTTATTAAAAGGTGAGGTTTTTTTTCATGCATTTTTGAAGGAGCTTGGAGCTATTTTGCCAGGTCTTTATTTTTAGGAAGGTGAAATATCCCCAGTGGATTTGAAAAGCTAACCTTTCAGCTATGTGATTTCCATGCCAGGACACTGAGTCATAAAGGGATTGCAGGAAGCTCTTTAAAATCCAGACAAGGATAAAGCTGTAGTAATTTAATAGGCAGCTCAGGACACTTATGCCCAGGCAGGCCTGTTCGTGTCCAGCGCTCCACAAGCCGGGTGCTTTGCTTGCTGGTTTAGAGGCCTTTGATTATCGGTTTGTGAAAACCTCGCCCACATCTATTCCATCCTGAATTACTCCACTCATGCCCCGTCTAAAGCACGGCTCAGGAGCATTTAGCAAACTGGGAAGCTGCTGTCAATCAGCTCCTCGGCCATCTGGAAGCTGGCATTTCCTATGGATACTTGTCTGTGGACCCGTAGGCCTGTGAGGACGCTTTCCTCCCATCTTTACCACGAATGCTGAGCAAAGTTTGGCTTAGTTTCTTTGCTTAATAATGGATCCTTGACATTGGGTACTTATAGTCGGGAAACGTGCACCATAGATGGGGGGCTGTTCCCTGAGCCGCTCAGATCTGCATTACGACCTCCCCCCATGACCCTGCATCCCAAGTTTGGGGGGATTTGGGTCCAGGTGGTCGGCCACATCTATTGGGCAGAACGGCAGCTGCAAAATCCAGGGCCAGCTTAGCCACGCAGAGAAATCAGAGGATCTGCAGGGACACTTGGGCATTAGGGCCAGCTGCAGCAGCACGTGGCAGTCAGCCGGGGTCAAGGATCTCGCTTCACGGTCTCTATGTATCGTGAGCAAAGTAATCCTGCTGTAACAATTGGCCACGCTAAAAAATAAAACATGTTGGAGGTGGTCTAATTTACCCCGATAAATCGATAAAGACGTCAAGGTGTATTTTCAGACACGACTAACCTAGCAAAGTGGCGATTTTTGGCGCCGTGACATGTACAAGCGCTCTATAGCGCTGCATGCAGCATCTCTATATAACAATGGTTATGATCTTAGTGAATATTCTTGATTTCTAAAGACCCCAAGGTGCCCCTAAGACTTTGCTTTCTCCTCTGAACAACCAACAGGGGCCATGGGGAGACAGGAGGGTGGATGGACCTCTCCAGGCAGTGGTGTCCCATGCACCTGCTAGGTCTCATCTAGACGGAAGAGGGCCATCGAATAAATCGCCCGCCCACTCCCTGCCATGGGTATTTCCCAGTGGGGTGGCCCACCCTGACCCCGCTCAGCTCGGGAAAGCTGGCTAGGTCACCGCATGATGGTGGGCAAAGGAATAGCCAATGGCTAGGTAGCCCTGCAGCAGGACTGAAGTGCCCACCCAGCAAAGACCCTCCACCGATGCTTTGCAAGGAGGCCCCTTGGAAATAATCCCATCCTGGCTGGGCTGAAGGGCAACACCAGGTCAGGGCCATTCTCTCCAGTGCAGATGCAGCGGGGAAGGGGCTGCCTGTTGGGGACATCATATCCTTTCTGGGTTAAATCTGGAGACAGGGTTCGGAGGTGGTGCAGAGAGTCCAGTCCATGCCTGGCTGGTCCGTCTCGCTCCCATGCTCCCGGTCATACTGGTTACCATATCCAGGGTTGGGATGGAAGTGGTCAGAGGAGCAGGAGGCTGTATGGGGCAGGTTCCTCTTCCCCTGCTGGCTTACCTTTGAGGATCGCCTGGATGCATCTCCAGGAATCAATTCCTGGCTGTCCTTTGGTCTCTTTTGATCTTTACCTGTGGCACCGAGTTCAGCTTCTTGAGGTCGGAAATACTTGATGCAGCCAATGTCTTCGGGCTTGACCCGAGGTATTTGGGTGAAGCTGAAAGGCCTGTGGTAGCCGGGAGGTCCGAGCAAACGAGTCCCTTCAGACTTTTATTTCTGTAATTGGTAGGTGGAAGCCAAAGTCCGTGGTGCACCGATGCCATGGCCAACCTCGCCCCCAGCAGAACAAATGCTAGCAGTCAGTGGCAGCTGCTTCTTCCTACGTGGACCCTGCACCGTGTTTTTAAAGCACAGGGGAATAGGCTGAGCCTCACCTCTGCCGCCATACAGAAACCCCAAATCCATGAGTGCCTGGCTCTGCCAGGGAGAGGCAAAGCTGCAGGAAAGTGCTGGCCTAGGGGCCAGCTGGCGTGGAAGAGGGAGCACACTACAGCACCCCAAGACCTGGCCACGGGAGAATGGGTTTCTTTGTCAGAGCTGCAAACTTCAGCCCTCCTTGCCTGTCACCAGTCTGCCTCAATCCCGGACGCCCAGAGATACCTCCAGGAGGGACGGCGGGCACGCCAAGTCTGCCACCTCGGCTGGCAGCCTGCCACTCGACCATCGGTCCCCTCACACGCGCTCCTCTGAGCTCCTGCCAGCGCCCCACACCTCCGCGGCTCTGCCCATCCTTCGGCAGCCCCGTGCTGCTTCTCGTGGGGCTGGGGGAGTCTTGCTCAGAGCCGACCTCACACGTTATCTCAGGCCAGTCCTCTGGCCAGGGCTTTTTTGACCATTTTGGGAGCGCCGAGGACTGGAGATGGGTCAGATAGATGTGGAGGAGCAGAGAGGCAGGAGCCTTGCTTTAAAACAAGGGAAAGGCCTTATCACGTTAAAGGGGAAAATAGGCTGAGGAAGAAGAGATGCTACAGTCTGCAGAGGGATAAATAGAAACGGGAGATGGAAAGGAGGACAGAGGGAGAAAGCAGCTTCTGGTGAGGGGGATTTATGCGCACGTGCCCCTCCACTGGCTTGTCCTCCGCTGGTCAGCGTCCTCGGCTCCGGGGCTTGATGGAGCAGGCCTGGGGCTGCCAGGTGCTGTTGTCACAAAGACTTGAGTCACGGCAGAAAAGCTCTCTATTTTCAAATAACACATGCGTGTGCCTAGGGGGAGGCTCTGCAGACTGGTGGACAACTATTTCCTTTAGCAAGCCGCAGTGCCATCTCTCCCGGTCCTGCTGGGGGGATCCGCTTGCTCAATCCAAGCCTTCTCCAAAGCAGCGTTTCTTGGGAATCTGTTTTTTTCCCCCCCTCACCCCACTCCCCACCCTTCTTTGTCTGTTAATGTGCAACAGATGGGAGGAAATGCCATTTAAAATGCCAGAGCAACATGATCAAAAGCAATGGGATATGGGTAACGGGGAACGAATGTGCTTTGTTTCGAAAGGGCCGTATCACAGCCTGGCCTTACACTCACTCGGGGATTTTGTGCCTGCAATGTTTCAGGTATAATGAAGGTCCTGCAGATGACTAAATAGCAAATTAGCAGGTGCAAATCTAGTGCTTGGATGCTCAAGCAACACCGAACGAGTCTGCACGCAATGGCAGAGTAAAAACGGAGCCCTCAATAGCTTGCTGGTGGCAAAGCCGCTGGCTAGCTCTGAAACATCTGGCGTGTAATGCCTGCGTGTGCATGTGTGTTATATATTAAATTAAATTCCAGTGTTACATTTATACGATTTCCTCGTTGGGTGCAAAAATTTTCTCTTGACAAGCCACCAGGTTGCCGTTAAACAACTCCAGCCCTGTATAAGTCTCCCTGAGGACCCCAGCTGAACCTTGGCAGCTCTGGAAAGCACAGATCTGTCTCCAGGCCCGTTCATTCCTCAGCCACTCGGCCATGACTACCCCTCAGTGCCAAGTATGATGGTGGTTTCTGTGATGTGGGCACCTGTCCACTAGGATCCTGCATGAGCCCATCAGGTCATTTCACGTAAGCCACCAGACTCAGCCTGTCGCCAGCTTGGAAACACCCCCCCGGCAGCCAGAGACATGACATCCCACTGCGAACCCCCCGAGCCAGCCGGTCCCATTAGCTGCTTCCTAATTAATTGCGGAAAAAAAAGTCATCTCCAAACCCGTGGAATATAAAGCACTCTTTTAATTGAGCGGGCTGAGAAAGCAGGCTCGAACACTTGAGCAGCCAGAAGATGTTACGTTAAAAGATAGCTGCAACAGGCTGGTTTTTAATCATCTAGATTAGAAACGTCTCCCCCTGTATGTATAGATTTCCGCACGTCTGATTCATGTCAGTTATTTGGCCCCGGCATGGAAAGGTTAGCAGCGTCAAGCCGTTTAACTTTTCCTTATTTTAAGCTCTCGCCTCTGCTGGCTCTTCGTTTGCTGCCAGCCAGAGCGATATTATTAATTACCCTGGAAAAAAAAAAATGAAATCACCCCCTGCTTTCACCGAAGCTGTAACTCAGGGCTAGGCTGGTAAGTACATCCTCATTAAAGGGTTTGGCAGCTTCGCTGAAGAACGCAGGCCAACGCCAATAGTTACAACAGCCCTCGTGTGTTTATCCAGATTTCAGCAGTTCTTCATTTATGCAGCTCAAAAAGCTTTACAGAAGGGAGCTGTGTTTATGGCTGCGAAGCGCGCGCCATGCAGGCGATTTAAGTTGCGCCCAGCGCCATGCGGCAACAAGAGGTGAGAAGGACCAGGAGGGAAAAAAGCCGGTCCAGGCAGGCGGGAGACAGAGCGAGAGCGAGGGATCGTGGGTTGGGTAGCCCACGTTAACGCCGCATCGGCTCACGCCTCGTCCTGGGACCGTGCCTCACCTATCCTGCCCCCTCACCACCTCCTCGAGTCAGAACAGGTGCCGCCCTGACCCCCTTTCCCTGCCTGGTCTGCTGCTCTGCTTTCTGCTCCCTGCTCTACCTGCCGCCGTGCTCCCTGTTCCCCCCTGATCTGCTGCGTGCCACACACGGAGAGCGCCCAGGCCCCTTGCAGCACCCATGCCCCTGCCCTAGTGCATAGGTGGCATGGGGCTCTTGGCTTCGATGCCAGCCTCCCCGCACAATTGAAGCGTCCTCTGCCAGCACAGCTGCATCCAGATGCAGAGCGGAAAGAGCTGGCTGAGTTACACTGACAAGCGGGTGTGATTTTTTGGCATCCTATAGGTATACCAATGAACTCTGCCGTGAAGACCAAGCCGTCATGAGACTGTGGCAAGCCCGAGCAGCTCCAGCGAAGTCAGCAGGGCTCTTCCAGAAGTGCCTTGGTACAACCGAGGTTAACATCTGCCCCTCCCTGGGTTAGAAGGAGCACAGCTGGCCTCCTGTATCATCATCCCTCCTGCTCAGGCTTATCTTCCCTTTGCATGGGAGCATCTCCTTTGCTTGTAGCTCCTTGCATTACAAGACGGTTTCACTCGCTGTTGACGTGCACAAGGGACAAAGGAATAAAGACCCCCCGCAATCAAACAGAGAGGTTTGCAGTTCCCCAGATGCGCTAGGCAGGGTTGCTCAGCCACCTCCTCCCGTTTAAGTGTGATGCAGAAATGTGTTTGCTCGCTGGCTCAGACCTTCCTCATCAGGCCTCAAAAAAAGCCTTAGGGGTCTGCAGGCTAAATACCAGAGCAATATGCACAGGGGCGTCTGTTCAGCCTGGTGGCAAGGCCCAGGCTCACAGATTCCTGCGCTTCCTGCTTCCTCCCCGCTAGCCGGGCTAGAGGAAAAACATACGGTTCGCTCATAAAGGAGAGAGCTGTTGCACTCTGATGGTTACAGATGGCACGGACGAGACTCGGCTCTTGGAATAAGGCCGAGGGTCTCCTCCCTAGATGCCTAACAAAGGGTGCTGATCCAGATGGGATGTAAAGGCAAGCAAAGTGCATGCAGATCCTTGCCGCCTCCTACTTGACGGATCTAGCAGCCATGGGATTTACTTTGGCCTTTCTGCCAAAAAAATGCACACAAAAATCCCACCAAGCGCACATCCATATTTCTCTTGGAGACGCAAGAAACTTGAGACTCCAAGTAACCCTCCTCTATTATTAATCCCTGCATTTTCAGCCAAGGTGCATTAAAACTATGGACACACTTAAAAGAGTGGCAGATTAAACTTGAATTAATCTCTGTCCGTCTGCCTGGCCAGTGTGTCTCGGAGCTGTGAGGATCAGAGAGTTTCTTGGCAGAAGCATTTCGGGTTGGGGTGTGTTCAGTTTGGTGCCAGGAGCAAGATGGGGTTTTTACAGCTGCCAGATCTAACTGATAAGGGGACAGTGTCCATGGCAAGACCAAGGATAGGGATGCGGTGAGTGACCTGCTTCTCTCCTCACTAGAAGGGGGTCCACAGGGATGCACCATTAGTCTTTACTGCTTGGTGCAGAGGGCTGGACCCGGTGATCTTCTGAGGTCCCTTCCAGCCCCTAACATCTATGAATCTATGAATGAATGAGTAGCTGCAGTGGCACATCTGTACTCCTTCCCTGAACAGAGAGAAGACATCATCCTCCAGGGCTGTCAAGCAGGTGGGCACCTTCCACCCCATGGGATAATGCCATTGTAATGACACCCTTGCCAGAGACAGATGTGAGGTGCGGGGATCTCAAAACACAGGCTTCTCCTGCCACAAGAAGGGGCAGAAAGCTGCTTGGTTCATCTGGGCTCCACGTAGCTTGCTAGGATGCTCATCGGACAGAAAGCGTGTGCACCGAACCCCCTCTGAGAAGTCTTTGGTGTCATGTGAGCACATCTGGATAAACCGAGGAGCTTGGACAACCCTGGCTGAAGTCGCTATTCGCAGAGAGCCCTGGCTAGAAACCAAATCCTTGTAAGTAAACCTGGAAGGACTTCTTTTTCTTCCACCTGGCTTCAGCCAAACCCAGAACCGGCGCCCTCAACATCTTCGTTTGGCTGAAAGAGAGGGAGGATGAAAGTTCCCCATGCTGGTGGCAGCAGGCATAATGTGAGTGGCATAATGTGACAGCCACATCTCATTAACGTCATGGAGAACAAGTGAAAACAGTCAATAATTGCCCTCTGCAGTGCTAAGGAGAACGTTGTACCGTGTGCTCCTGCCCTAGGCAGAGAGGAGATAGGGAGACTGTACAGAGAGGAGACAGGGAGAGAGGACTGGGACTGAGAACTGCAAGGTCAAGGCGACAGATGCTGGATCACAAGGCTTCTGACGGGCCAGCCCGGAGCAAGCCAGGCCTCATTTCTTCCGAGAAGAGGAAGGGCAGCTGGCACATGGGACCACTGGAAAAGAGCCTTCCATGCATGGGGCCCGCCTGGGACCTGGGAGCTCAGCATGCAGTCACGCAGCAAGCCCTGCCACCCACCTGGAGCTGCTGCCTCCGCCAGGTGCCTGCGATTCCCATCTCCTTCCCGCTCCATTCCTACTTCCTGCTGGCACGGAGGAGGGCTTGGCTTGCTCCCTCGCTGCAGAGTTTGGCCCAGGCTGGGAACTTTGAAACCTGTCACTAGCTGGGCTTGGGTTCACCACTTCGCTGGAGTCTTTTTTAACCGGCAGAGGAGAAAGGCAGCTAGTTTAGCCCAGCTGCTGCCTGGCAGTACTGGCTGCAGTCTGGGCTCCAGAGCAAAGAGGGAGTCTGGGGAAAAGGGTCTCTGGGAAAGGGCATGAGGAGGAAGGAAGGAAGAGCTAAGGGAAAGCAAGTAGCTGAAGCGGGGAGCGGACGCATGGTTTGGGCAAAGACGGGCCGTGAGTCCCAGTCTGTAACCCTCATGGATAGGTCATGCTCCGGTTTAGGAAACGCAGAGGGGCTTTGCTTGGGCTGTGCATGATGCATGGGTGCAATTCTGCACCTCCTGCGCTGCGGGCCATTCCTGCATGAAGCCAGGTACACCGGCGCCCTAGCCCTGCACACATCACGCGTGTCAGCTGCATGTGCCGCCTCTCCAATGCCCCCGGGCACACTGTCTGCATTATACACCCCTGCTGCCTCCCTGCCTCTGTGCTGGATGCCACGTCTCTGCCACGGGCGCTGCAGAAAACCCTGCTCCCCGCTGCCACATCCAGGCCCCTCGGCCCATCTCCGGATAAAGCAAACGCCTGTAGCACGCCTGCCTCTGCCTCCTTTCCCCTTGGCTCCCAGGCTGGAGTATTACCACACCTGCAGGGAAGGAAGGGCTGGGCTGAGCTGGTCTTTTTTATCCTGTGTCTTTTGGGGCCCCCAAGCCCAGCATGCATTTCTAACCAGCAGCTTGAGGCACCGTCCAGGAAGATTAAAGAGTTTGGGAGCATTCCCTCCCTCCTCCTCCTCCTCCTCCTTTCCCAGGAGGCCAGGGCAGTGGGTGTGGGCTCTGATAGCATCCCCTCCAGCCCGCACTCCCATCGCTTCATCTGCCACTTGGATGAAAACCAGCGCAAACCAGCAGGCACCAAAGCCCCACTCGTGTCAGCCTCTGATCTCAGCATCTGACAGAGGGGTTGGTTTTGCTTCGTGCTTTGGAAAGCACCGGGCGAACGGGCACCAGGAAAGCAACCGGCGTAAAATGTTCATGAGTTCTTCTTTTCACCGGCACGTCCGTGTGCGGAGGGGTGTCTGATGGGCAGCGGCGTGTGTGCTGGCAGGGGCACATGGGGAGGGCTGGTTGCTTTTCCCCTGACTCCCACCCATGCCATGTGCAGCATCTGGTTCCTTGTCCCCTGACTCCCACCCATGCCATGTGCAGCAGGGAGACACCGAGGAGGGTGTGTAGAAGTCGAACTTTAGTTTCAGGGAAGGGAGTCACCCTGCCGTCCCGCTCGCCCCCCTGGGAACATGCAGCTGAGCCTGGCTGAGCACGTAGGTACATGACTCGGTGTGTAGGTGCGAGCGGGATGAGTCACGGGGGTGCATATGAGAAGCATAAGAGGTCATACCTCATATGTGTGTGGACGTGCAGAACAACAGACACGCTTTTGGATGCACGTTTGCTTTGAGCATTGGACAGGGTACGTGGCCTGTGCCGGGGCTGCTGTGTGTGCACAGATCTGCCAGCGGGCATGCATGGGTAGCTGGCGTGTCGCTACCCCATGTGCCCCGTGGGTGTGTGCATTGGTGTGGGTGTGCACAGAATAATGCATAGAGCGGCTTCTCAGCTGAGAGGGCGCTTAATCCGCCTTGAGCTAATACTCCAAGGAAGCTTTTCCATTTTCTCGTTACATATCAGAAGCAATTAAATGATGCTCATGACTAATCACTTGGACTCAACAGCTTCCACTTCATTTAAAACAGCCCGGCTGAAATGCCTCCAGACTTGTTTAAAGTACTCCACGTCTGTCACTGGGTCCTGCCTGGAGACCCAGGGGTGCCCCGGGGAAGAAGGATGCCCAGTCCCTCGCACCCTGGGTTGAGGATGCTGCAGACCTCTCCGGGGGTGGCTGGAGATGCCTCCAGAGACTCAAGAGTGCATCGTGCGGCCGTGTCTCCTCCCCTCCGCTGTGGCAGGGAGCTCGGAGGAAGCAGATGAAGTTAAATACAATGAAGTTAGATACATCTTCTGGGTCTGAAGAGGAGGCTGGAGGGAGATGCAGGACCAGCTTCATCTGCATCGAGAGCAACCCAGAAATGAAAATCCCCTCCCGGTTCCTGAGCCAGGACCTGGAGGAGCCTGAAACAAATTTTAACAGCCAAGCCGCAGAGCCCCGAGTTTTACAATCTTGAGTGAAAACGGCTTCAGTAAATCTCCTTGCGGGCTCGGCGGCAAGTCACTCTCGTTCCACAACACCTCTGCGAATCCCTTGTTGACTTTGGCGCGGGAAAGGCCTTGCTCCGGTGCCCGATGCCGTGTTAACGGCAGGGAAGTTTTCAAGCTGTTGGACATGACTTTGGTCTGAAAGCGGGTTGGGTGGGGAGCGCGCAGAAGGAGCAGGTTGCGTCTGGTGCCTTCAGCACATTGTATCCGCCTTGGCGGTAGCTGGGCAGAGGAAATGCTGTGAGTCCAGGGGACCCTTTCCTCCAAGGGCGAGTGGCTTCTCCGGTGTCTGCAGAGGCCGAGGAAGAGGAGATGATGGGAGGATGGAGAATGCAGGCAGAAGAGCCCTTGCCAGACGTGTGCATCTGAAGCTTGCATGGCTTGATGCTATCAAAGACTCTCTGCTTGCTCTGCCAGCCACCCCAGCCTTGTCGGGGCACCAGGAAAGGAGCAAATGCACCAGGAGAAGCTGCACCGGTAGAAAGGAACATCCTGCCCCTCGCCTACGTGTGGGGCCGGACCTGGGTGAGACGGGGAGGCCGTACAAGGGATGTGTGCACAGCTTCCTCCAGATCGGTATCCCGGTTCCCTCCCACCAAGCACATCGCGTTCCCGCGGCCCTTTCCCGATCAGCGCCTGCCCGTGCTGGGAGCAGAGCCCTGCCAGGTGCAGCCAGGCTAGGGCTGCAGCATGGCTTGCATTGTTCTCCTCTGTCTCCTGGGCAGGGATTATATCTCTGTGAGCTGGGCTTTTGGCACGCTCTCGCTGGTGCCTGGCTAGCACAGCTCTTGTGCAAACACCCCGTCCGCAGCCGGAGGTTAGGGTGCCTCCAAAAGACCCCTCCACACACAGCTTCCCCACCCCTGCTCGAAGGAGGGGGTAAGCCATCACTCATGGGTAAGCTGCTTTCAGACCTCACAGACTCCTCTCTGCCTGTCCGAGGTCTGGGCAGGGGCACGGGAGCAAGGACTGGACTGGCAGGGGAGGGGGCACACGGGGAGGTTCACTTCATACCCGCTGCCCTGGTCCAGCAGTGATTACCCGGTAAAGTTAATGCAACCTCAGGCTTATTAAACAGTGTTATCCTGGCAGGCAGCAAGAGTGTTCAGACCCCACGGGGATAGGGCTGGCATAAATGAATAGGGGCATATATATCTATATCTATATCTAGATATAGAGAGAACAAACAAGAGGCAGTAGACACAACCCATATCTATATCTATATCTAGTAATCTAGATATCTAGATATAGATATAGATATGGGTTGTGTCTACTGCCTCTTGTTCGTTCTCTCTATATCCGACACCCATGTGGCAGAGTCTAATCAGGCTGTCAGACATCAGCACCATGGGGCAAATCCCTGCAGTGGATTTTTATTCTCTTTTGCCAGGAGGGAAGCTCAGGTTTCCCACTATCCTGAATCTCCTTTGACCGGCGGTGACTATCAAAAAGGTCCCAGCAAAAACAACGGGCCTCATTGCACGAAAGGATTCCTCCAACCGCGTGGAATAGGATAAAGAACGAGGCGTGCCCGCAAACCCAACACCAGCAAAAGGATCTGAGACTTTGATTCTCCTGGATTAAACAAATGTGGGGCTTTCATGCATAACCAGCAGCATTTAGCTACCATATATAGTCAAAAGCCTCAGATACTCGATGGCCACTCATCACTCCCCAGATCGCCTTGCTCTGCTACGATACTGAAGATAAGTGGGTTACAAGAGAATTTCCCTGCATATTTTTGCTTTCTGGCACCTATAAAAACAAGCTCAATACTTCTCCAATTCTTTTTTTTTCCCCAGTCGCCTTATTCCCAACTCAAGATCCACGTTCCATTTTGACAAGGGTCCTTGTGTAAGATAAGCCAGAACTTGTGTTTTCAATTAAACACCACTATTTCTGAGCTCTAAATATGGGTTATATCTTTCCTTTTATAGTTAGAACGAGGTGCGATTAGGTTTTTGTTCCAGTCATTTTTCATCTTGAGCAAAGTGTCGGATTCAAAGCCCTATTATTAGCGATTGTGCATAGCTTCTGTATTACTGCAGATAATCATGAATCACTTTCTGCAGTATTGATATAGGCACTTTAGACGTGCCAACAACCCATCTTTAAGCTACACTTCTGGAGGAGACATAGAAAACAGCTGATTATAGGGCTTGGGGTTAAGATGTTCTCTTCTCTACCTGCAAAACAGATCCCCCGTCTCCGGAGTACATCTTGCTGCCATGTGCCTAGGTCAGATCTCCTCCTGAGACATATATTGACACGGATAAATGAGACATCCCTAGCAGGAGTTCCCGGCGCACACACCTTGACTCAGTTCCAGCTCTCAGCAATGCTCTTAAATTCACGATGCTGCTTGAATCCATGTTGTCACAGAGCCCGGTCTCCCTGGCCAAAATGGATTTCAGCATTGGGAGTTACCACCGCTGAGCCTTTCCGCATGGACCAACTCAGGCCGGCCAAATCTGCCCTTGCTAATGCCCTGCCGTGTATTTGGAGGGTCGCTTCTCAGTCTTGGTACACGTCCTCCATGGCATCGTGCGGCAGGGGCTGAGACAGGTAAGGAGTCGTGTGAGATTTCCATCTCCTAGACTAACTCAGTCCCTTCCCCAGAAAGTGGGGGCTGAGACAGAGGATATATGTCGTGACTCCCCCCTTCCAAAACTCCGGAGCAATTGTTCTGTGCACGA